GTAAGTGTTTCTCCTGTATGTCTTGTAATATTGTTCTGCACTTAATGTTATTGACTGAACCACAAGTGATTCAGGTATGTTCATATACAAACAGTATATGTCAGAGTTTACCTGCCCGCTCTGGCTGAATCCGCATGATTTCCTTGGCCATCACATCTGTAGGGGCCGGTGGGTCCCAGTGATGCACAAAGCACACATGCAGCAGGCTCTCCCAGGCATGGCTGCACCCACAGACTCAGTGCTGCTACTGAAGCAGTTCGCAGACAAAATGGGTGTCGAGAGGCATCCAGGTTATGGATCGCGTACCAGAAGGTCATGTGTTTACAGCTCGTTTGAAACGCATCAGCGCTAACATGCATAAATAAAAACACGCGTGAGACCAGACACTCATGGGTGCACGAGGGCGCGGTCTCAGCCAGCCTGCAACCCCTCCTACTGACAAACCGGAGTGCAGTTTTCCCCGAATAAACGATCCCACTCTAAGCTGCAGCCTGTTTGGAACTGAAAACATAAATAGGAGGTAGGAAAATGGGAGGAGGGGTTGTAGTAGCCAAAGTCTGAATGAGGCCTGCAGGTTCCCTTGGCAGCCACCGTCTCTACTCTCGGGTTTCTGTCAGAGATGCCAGTATAAATCCGAACCGGGCGGTTTAATGCCCATCTTTTCTCTTTCGACCTCCTCCCTCGCTCCCTATCCTCCGTCCGACGATGGCTTGTCACAATAATGCCATTGCAAAAGTAAAACTACCCCTTTAATTACACGTATCCTCCTGAGATCCCACCCATTCATTTATGTCCGTTGTAGTGGACATTTTCACTGATGTAAGGAAACGTATTTATTCCTGTTGTGCACTAAAGAGGACATGCTGTGAAATTAAAGATAAAAATACATTTTAAAAAATCTAAATTGTAAGATGTCTTATTTCCTCCAAAGACAAATAACCTAAAATTGAAGGACACTTTTTTCCTTGGGTCTCAGGAGGATATAACACATAGTTGTTGAGTGCTCTTGTTTTCGTAATTGTTTGCTAGTAGATTACTTAAAGTGATCAGCTGAAGAGCTAATTTCCAAAACTAACTCAGACATCCTGTGATGCAAAGGGCATTATAAATAAAATATATTATTATTATTATTTATTTATTTGTTTATTTTGAGATGAGACCATGAAGAACCTGGTCAGGCCTCCTTATCAAATGTCGTGCCACATTTACTCTTGCATTTTTGTTCAAAACAATAGAAGAGCACTTTACATAATATATACATCTGTGGAGGAGTCGACTGGTGCAGTTAGGCTGAGCGTCCGATGAACATTCAGGGACAAGTATAAGCAATATTGGGGCAAGAGAGCTATGCAGAGTCTTCCCACAGAGCACAAGCGTAATAAACCTAATAATATTCAATGACCAGAGGAGCACCATTCAAAACATTCAAAGAACAGAGAGCCATCAGGCTAGCAGGCAAATTCTTGGAGAAGATGGGTCTTGAGGCGTTTCTTGAAGGTAAAGAGAGAATCTGACGACCAGACATGGTGCATCAGTTCATTCCACCATCAGGGAACCACCCATGAGAAACAGCTGGAGGGACTCTTCTCCAGTGCTGGACTTCGGAGTAACAATCAGCCCTGGACTTCGGGGTCCCCCACGGCCCCATGGTAAATGATATGATTTGCTACTTTGTTCTCCATGATAAATGCACAGTATGCCAGATAGCTATTCCAGTCCTGTCCATCTCAGGCGGAGGAATCTCCAAGCGCCTCAGTCCATGTAATCCAACAAAGAACTTTTGTTAAAATTCAAAACTCAGTAGCATCCAAATGGCATACGTATCAGACTCCCCTACGTGAAATTTGGTTCCATACAGTATAGTATCTACATTTGCATGTATTTATTCAGAAAGACACTTTTGTCCAAAGTGACTTACAAGTGAAGCAGGTGGTACATTGCTGGGCACAGCAGTCAAGAAGCCTGTAAGTGCAGCTAGGCTGAGCTTCCAAGGAATGACCAGTAACAGTGTAAGTAGTATCAGGGCAAGAGCTATACATAGGCATGTCATAGGCATGGCATAGGCATGTCATAAGCATGTCATAGGCATGGCATACAGTCAACTGGAGAATTTACCTTGACCATTATGGTGAATGACACACAAGAGCTTGAAGAATCATTCCTGTCCTGGATTTCAGATTGGAGACAGAAGAGTGAGCTGGCCTGCAGTGTTGTTTTTTTTTTCTCCATGGTACTCGAATGCGCCGGTTGTCATGGTGAGGCGTGTGGAGAGCACCGAACATCTCCCCTGCCCTCGGTGAACATGGTCCTGCTTGGTACCTGCGGGAACGGCACACTGCGTTCTCACAACATTGCTGCAACTTCCAAACAGCTATAGAACGTTTACGGGCACCTCTGCTAATCTCCCGGGTTTTTAATACAAAGCATACAGACACAGTGCTAAGTGGAGTATCTGCATGTGCAGTAACGCGCAGTGGATCTTATATCTACGGCTCCTAAAGAATACAGGTGCTAACTTGGACGCTGTAAAGTGCAGTTTAATGAGGTGATTTTCAGAATGTTCTGGAAGAGTGGGAGGGACCCTGTAGCCCTGAGAGTCGTTTGAATCCCAGAGGCACCTGGTGACACTGGAACATGGGGAAAGAGGTAAGAGAAAATGGTATGAACCAGCATTTTTAGGTGCATTATCCACAAGACCAGTATTAACAATACATTAAAATATTCTCATAACATTTGTTTGCATAATGATTAAACTATATTTTAATAATTTCCAACCCTTTTGAACCATTTACCTACATATTTAATACATTTCAATTTCAGCAAAAATACTTTAGGTCATCATGCTTTTTTCATGAATTAAATCGTAATTAACACACACATGGAAATGAGTTCATTAAAGAAATCAAAGTTTCATTTTCTTTTTGTGCGTGAGCACAAAATATTTCCAATTGACGATATTCCGTCTGTAATATTTTGTCTTCATGTCAGTCGTCTTGAAAGCCTCCATCAGCCTGCTGTCCCTGGCGCCCCCCAGTCCTCCGTCAAGCAGAAGGCGCAGGCCGTGCATGTCTGCAGCTCTCATCCCTTCCAATCCGCTTCATATCTCATGCTGTGAAACAAATGAGGACAAACGGGGGAAAATAAGAATCAGAATCAGAGGTGTGTGAGCACTGGCAGCCACACTCACAGGTTGGGGGAGGGAGGGGGTGAGTTTCCTCTGCACTGTGTCCCGAAATAACCTGCAGAGCCGACAAACTGAAACCGGAATGATGTCAAACGAGTCCCCCACCGTGGGACTCTCAGGCCAGTTTGACAAATGACAAGACTCCCTCTCCAGGCCTCATCCAAGCTGTAGAGATCTTTCTGCACATGGGAAGAACAATTCACTTGACTTCCTCAAACGATCTGTTTAATGACTGCAGGGATTCAACCAGGGACTATAGTATCCAACAATACTAGTCCTGCTCTCATACTTCCATTATCTAACAGACTCTGCTCATGTCTGCAAATAGGGTGTAAAGCTCTGGTGGTTAATAACTTTAATTTTCACTAATTCTAGAACATTTTTTGCCTATTACAAGACCCTACTAATGAACGTGCTGTTCACTGTACCCGTTTTGTCAAATTAACACCTTCATGGAGTTGTTACACTGCACCATGGAAAGCTTGGTCTCCTTCAAACATGGAAAGCTTGGTCTCCTTCAAACATGGAAAGCTTGGTCTCCTTCAAACATGGAAAGCTTGGTCTCCTTCAAACTCGGTCTCCCTGTTTCTGACCACAGGGCAACTCACTTTCGGGATTTCAGGGCTTCTTTTTCATGAAATGTTTGCGTGTTTGCACAACATATAGATATTAACCGAACTGTTCGGCAAAATAGGAACCGTTACAGGGGATGTTAATCTACGGCAGCACACTATGGGAGGACCACAGCATAGCATCTAAAAATAGACAAAAAGGGGATGTAGTTTGATAGATGTGAACAGCAGGGCGCAATGGATAGACAGTGAAGCTGTTGCGGGTCGTCTAATCAGCTTACCCCCGTCTTAATTTTTTTCTTCCTGTAAAATGCTGTCGAAAATACACTAAAAATGCACCCAAGTTGACGAGGTGGTGCTGTCCATGGTCCTGATCCCCCGCAGTTTTTCGACATCTGAAATCCTGCTGTCTTTACAAGCACAGTCATAAACAGGTTTTGGTGGGTTTGGTTGTTTTGTAGGGGACGTCTCAACAATTAACTGACAAGTGATTGTTAACTGTTTCAAACACCGCGCTAAATCACGCTTAAAACTTGAAAGGCGTCCCTAATGAAAATCAGAGAAACCTGCGCAAAGGCTCTTAGGGATCCACTGTAAATGGGAGCGCGTGCTGCTCTAAATAATAGCCGAAAGAAACTAATCAAAGCTCATTTATGCTTCTGTTCTGAAAATGGGGTATCTAACACCCCCAAAATAACCTTCTGCCGTCCGAAAATGGAGAATAATTATTTATTTGTCGTTAGAACATCCAGCAATTCATCCAGATTCTCGCTTTTCAAATCACTATTAAAACCTTTTGCGCCATAACACTTAATTCACGTTAGTAATAATAATATTGTTTTAACACATTTTAATAGGACATACAGTAGCCTGAAAACGGACTCTTCCATGTCTTGGAAGGGTCACTTGACCTTCATAATTAAAAACACGCCCGCAGATGGATAGACACATGCAGTGGGGAATGTAGGCAACCGCGTTTCATTAGAGTATCTATCTATCTATCTATCTATCTATCTATCTATCTATGCACTCAACTCGTCCTTTTGTCAAATGTTCTCTCATTGAACAAGAGACAAATTACTACACGTTTCAAAGCGACAAGAATGGAGGATGAAAACCAAAACCAAAGAAGATAAAAATACACAAAGGAGAAACTGACAAGCCGTTTGCATGCACAGTATTAACCGTTTAATAAACTGCACTGTGTGACGTGGTCAGTGGTAATTAGCGCCCAGCTGGAACGGTTAACATAGCTAAACACAACACTGCCAGCAACTGCCAGAGCCGACAGGTTTGTTTTTAAACATTCTTTTCGGCAGAAACCCAAAACCGAATGAATATTAAAGGCTGAGATTTTAGATGGCTGAGCAGTTATGAAAAATTGACCTATATGGATGGAAATATGAATCAATTCCTCCCGATTCCCTTTGAAACTACTAATCTTTCACTGTCATTTTATTAATGTAGGCCTAATTTAATTCAGAGGGACAACATGGAACCATAAGAGAAATATACAGTAGTATTAACAGCAGCGCTGGCCTGCACGGTTTTCATGGTGTAGAAAGCACAGCCTGTCTGCATTGCGTCGAATGCTCCCTCCTCTCTCTCCCTCTCTCTCTCTCCCTTTCTCTCGCTCTCCCTCTGTATATATAAAATCCGGCAAACCACCACCGTGTATAACAATATTTTCTGATTTTCTCTGCGTCCTTTCTTTCATTTCACGCAGTGCTTTGAGGCAGCACAGGTATGCGCAGGGATGTCCGCGTCCGGATTTCACCAAAAAAGAAAAGATGTCCAACGTTTGCTGATGCGGCAACGGCAAGAAACGGCCAGTTCGCTTATTACCCCTTGATGCACTCGGCACTCCCATCCGCACCACCATGCTTTCTCCTACCACATAGTTTATCCCGCTAGAGTCAGCAGACTTTCTGGATGTCATGCATGCGTTCATATGCCTGTAACTCAGCCCGCTTTCATTTCGACCTGTCCAGCAGCATGCTTTTATACAGCCTATTAAGAGACTCCGAAGTCCAAGATTTCAGTCACTGCAAGACGAAGATGCTTCGGTCAGCCTTAGACGCCAAAGTCAGAAATACGCCGGGATTGCTTATTAAAATGGTGTAGCCGATTAATATTTCAGGAAGCCTCATATCTTGCGCGCTGTAAAGTGATAGCCATATTAAAACAAAGCTGCGAGTGCAAAGTTGTCGCTCTGCCTTACGGTGCATACGGACTGTTCGCATTCCTATACAGTTTCTCTTCATACCATCCAGAGGTAAGCAATGCAGAAAGCAATGCATCTTATGACAGCGTGAAAAAGCTATTATGACGGTTATTATTATTATTATTGCTGCTGTTACCAAGAATGCTATTTTGTTGCTATGCAAAATATTACATTTTATCTGTTAATATAGGCCTATTTGTGAAGGAATTGATCTCTTGAGATAATTGGTGACTTACGAAGGTATTTTATTTAAAATAGAGTGAGCCGAAAGTTAGGCTGTATGAACCGTGCCGTTTGACTAAGGGGTAAAATTAAATAAATAAAATAAAATAGAAACTTTGTCGGTTGTCGACGGGACACTGTTGCGTTACTAACATTTAAAATAATTTATTTTCTAGCATTTTCGCATTCCTCGCAACGAGCAACTGCACAGTTGGCGCTCTGACCACCCACATGTCTACATCGTAAAAAAAACGGGGAGTTGAAATTGCTGAGCTGGCAAAGAGCTTCGCCTTTCGATCCATTTCTTTCCCCTGTTTGACTGGGTGATAGAAGCAGCAGTAAGAAGAGCCGCGTAGAGAAGCAATGGTCGAGTCAGCGCGAAACGTACAGAAACGGCATTGAGGAAAAGCGATCCATCATTCTGCAATACATGTACAGGGCCACCTGAAGAAAACTGAACGGGAAACTGGATGCCTGTTCAGCCGGGCTGAACGCAAACCCGCATCGCCTGCAACGCGCAAAACTCGACCAACAGAATGACGGTGGTGGCCGGAGATAACATGGACGAAGCTTCTGGGCACCCCCAGGACGCGTACCCCCCAGACCATGACGATCACGATTGCTGCGAGAGGGTGGTCATCAATATCGCAGGGCTGCGCTTTGAGACTCAGCTGAAAACCCTTGCGCAGTTCCCGGATACGCTCTTGGGCAACCCCAAGAAGAGGATGCGCTACTTCGATCCGCTGAGAAATGAATATTTCTTTGACAGAAACCGTCCCAGCTTTGACGCCATACTCTATTACTACCAGTCCGGGGGCAGGCTGAGAAGACCGGTCAATGTGCCGCTGGATATGTTCTCGGAGGAGATCAAGTTCTACGAGTTAGGGGTGGAAGCGATGGAGAAGTTCCGGGAGGATGAGGGGTTCATTAGAGAGGAAGAGCGTCCTTTACCCGAAAAAGAGTTTCAACGCCAAATCTGGCTGCTGTTTGAGCACCCGGAAAGCTCGGGTCCGGCAAGGGGGATTGCCATAGTTTCAGTGATGGTCATCCTGATTTCCATCGTAATCTTTTGTCTGGAGACTTTACCTGAATTGAAAGAAGACACCACGGGGCGAATGATAACTGTGGGGAACAGTACATACTTTTACAAACCGAACATTTTCTCAGACCCTTTCTTCGTTGTGGAGACCCTGTGTATCATCTGGTTCTCTTTTGAACTGATCGTGCGTTTTTTTGCTTGCCCCAGCAAAGCGGCGTTCTTTAAGAACATGATGAACACTATTGATGTAGTGGCCATTATCCCTTATTTCATCACGCTGGGAACGGAGCTGGCCGAAGATCAAGAAAGCGCTGAGGCAAAGGGGGAGCAGGCGACGTCTCTAGCTATCCTCAGGGTAATTCGCCTGGTCAGGGTATTCAGGATCTTCAAGCTCTCCAGACACTCCAAGGGGCTGCAGATCTTGGGGCAGACCCTCAAAGCCAGTATGCGTGAACTGGGCTTGCTGATATTCTTCCTCTTCATCGGCGTTATCCTATTCTCCAGCGCCGTGTACTTTGCTGAAGCGGAGGAGAAGGAATCATACTTCACCAGCATCCCGGACGCGTTTTGGTGGGCAGTGGTATCGATGACGACTGTGGGCTACGGAGACATGTATCCCGTGACGATAGGGGGCAAGATCGTGGGTTCCCTTTGTGCCATCGCTGGAGTATTGACGATAGCGCTGCCGGTTCCCGTGATCGTGTCCAACTTTAATTACTTTTACCACAGAGAAACCGAAGGAGAGGAGCAAGCGCAGCTGCTTCATGTCAGCAACCCAAACATCGCGTCTGACACCAGTTCTAGTCGTCGTAGTTCGACCCCCGTTAGTAAGTCAGAATATATGGAGATTGATGAGGATATAAATAATAGTATCGACAATTTTAGGGAGGCAAATCTCAGAACTGGCAATTGCCTCGTTAGCAACCAAAACTGTGTTAATAAAAGCAAGCTGCTGACAGATGTGTAAAACCGAAAATCCCAGCAGCAACTACACGAACTTACGTGAAGCCGTCCACTAATGTATATACTGTAATCATAACTGAATGCTTTATTTACCTCGTTAATGCGTTCTTGCATTTCGATTATGCTCAGCGATGTTAAACGAAAACACAAATCGAAGGTAAAAGATGCTTTCAGAATAAGTGAAAGATCGATATTTTCATTTATTTTCAAATGGGCCATCGAGTTTGTCTGAGAAAAGGAACAAACAGAAATGAAACATACTTTGACTCGTTTTTATTAAAATGAGACATTGTGCGATTCCCCTCGCCGTCCCGACCCGGGACTTCACTGCTTGCCCAAACAGACAATTACTAGATTATTGGCAAAAAAAAGTTATGCATGGATTACAGCGAAACACACAGCGCATCCAGGAAGTGCATCAAAGTCTCTCGTCCAGCCTAGTAGCAAGCATTCGCAGTTATCGATCAGCGGATTCCCGTGCGACAGCCGATGCCATTACCTGAGACTTACTGCCCAGCACAGCACCTTATCGTAAAGGAAGGGACCGACCCCTTGCTGCCAATTTAAGGCGGTCCAAGTAATAGTCCCGAGGACATCTGCAATGCTGCTATTTTTCGGTGATGCTGTAATCCCGATCTTACCGAGCGCGTCCGACGCCAGGCCCTCTAGATGTAAGACAGCACAACGACAGTTAAATACTAAAAAAAGTTAAATACTAGCATGTTCAGATACTCTTCGTTTTAATATCGGCATGCGTGAGTCATTTCCTCATGTAACGGAAAACTTTATTTCTGTTTGAGTCAAATTGATTTCTTTGTTTTCGATTTTTCTAATAATTTGGTTTCACCAGAAGTGCACTAGTTATTTATCATTTGTTAATACTTTAAAAGCATTTAAGTGCTGAATGTTAAATCTTTAGGAATTGGAGGTCTTGGCATGTTAAAATACTCCGCATCATGGCCTATTGAACTAAGGTACTATGTATCCTAGTATATTTAATGCATGAAAGTCAGTATTAAACAGCTTGCGGTAACAGGGATGTTAGTCGGGCAGAGCGATTCACTGCTCATTAGCAGGGAAACGACAAGCTGGTTTTTGCCTGAACTACGAAAGATCATATCCAAGTTTAACGTGTGGATACATAGCTTTTCATGAGAAAGCAAACGCAAAGAAAAAAAAGCAACTAACGAAATAATAATAATAATAATCAAATTGCATAGGTTGCACCTAATACAGTCAGTGTTGCTTATCTGGTGCAGTGCATGGACTCTCTCTGAACATGAAAACCGAAAAAAGTGTATAATTGCTACATCCACATTGCCGTTGAGTTTTTAGGCATTTATGGTTTTCAGACAAATTTTTTTCAAAATGATTTCCAGTAACATTTCCAGGAGAACTGACGTGGCAAAACGATTTAAATTAGTTGCTAGTGCCTTTAAACCTTCCTACCCAGTGGATTGTTAAAGTGCCTCCCTTTACCATTGAGTAACACAGTTAGATCAGAGCTGAAACGAGCCTCCTTACTGCAGTGCACTGTAATCCATCTCTGTATCCTTTATGGAAATAACTGTCAGATACAGTACATTAACAAACCAGCTCCCCGGCCACCGGCGGAGCGGGACTGAGCGGTCGGACCTGAATCCCGGCAGATTTCATGGGACGCGCCCCTCGGAACATCGTCCACCAAAGTACCTCCTGACCGCCGTGTACACGGGCATCGGAGATCCGGATGACGGGGATAAGCTGGGGAGGGGACGTAAAGAAATTGTACTTGTTTTGTTACTAACACCCGTATTCCTTTTTTTGGTTTTATGGCCGTGTAACAAGCCTATAGGTAGTCTACCTCAGTAGTTACGTCTCTCTGCACAGTGCTTTTGGCTCCGCGTATTCAATGTTCAGACACCTGCCATCGTTGGTCATACTCGTTAATGAATCCATATTAGTTAACTGCATTAAACGTCTCAATTTCCCAGGCAGGTTACCCTTACAGAAAAGCACTTATAACACGTATTAACCGCAATCCCCGAGGTACGCACAATCACGACCAATGGCGCTTTGGCTCGAAACCACCTGCCTTCGAGTGAGATTTGCTGATTTTAATCACTGGAGTCCTTGTACATTTGGGGAAATGTTTAAGACCATTATAGGCAATAGCATAGAACAAATACATGAATTAAATTTGAAAAATGTGCACCTGTCGTGTTTTATATATCAATCAATATCAGAAACTGCATTCCTTTTTAATTATGTTCCAAAATAAACAAAAGCACTTGTGTAAGAGTAGTACTCTCTCAGCAGACTGAGAATCTGTGATGACATCAAACAGATTATTTCCATTTTTACCCAGCTGGCATACTGGTGTTCTGTTGACCAATCATAGGGGTCAAAGGACAATTTTGAGGTGATGAGTCAGTACTCAGTACTGCTCAGGATTGGGCTGTGGAATGAGGTGGTACCCTGAAGGTCGCTGGTAATACAGTGTACAGTATGTATGTTTTCTTAGCGAGTCAGTGGTTGCGGCATCTGGGATTGGATGTTGTACGCATGTCAGTTGTTTGTGAGCTGCACTTATGTAAAGCTGCCATCTATGTTGATGCGATAGGGCAACTGTATCAGTAATTACGATGCAACCTTTCAGAAGGATGTTTAGGAATGCATCTGAGAGAGTTCCCTTTAAATATGGACACTTTCTGAATCGGTAAACGCCACCCAGTCCGTTCATTAAATTTATTTTCATAATGAGTAAATGAATGGGGACCGATGGAACATTGAGCAAAAAATACATAATAAATATATATATTTATTTTATCACAGTGACTAGATTTCTCTCAAAATTTCTAAAATTGTCATTTCTGTGAATTGTTTCACTGCAGTTGTGCATTGTTTTCAATAGCGTTTCTTAGCCTAAAAAGGTTAAACAGCCTATGCAAGCATGACAGAATCTCCAGTGATTATTTTTTGGCGAATGGAACACATTTTATAGCGCTAATATAAAGTTGAATGTTAGCTAAGATATCTAGCTATGTCCTTATTTCTCATAGCAAACATACATATCATGCCGGCTAAAGGGGTATTAACCAGTCATAAGGTCTCATTGGAAGAGGCAATGTGTGCTCCAGTAGGTTATGAATCTGTACCGGTGTCCAGAAGGTTGTGGATTTGAATCCTGTAGCCAACAGAGTTACATCACTGTTGGGCTCTCAACCCCACCTGCTTCAGGAATGTTGGATGCTGGCTGGATGGCTGGCTTTCTCTCTGACTCTATGCTTTCCTCAGTTGAGCATCACTTTGGACAATAGCATCTGCTAAATGTAGAAAAGGAAATTGGGAGACCCCCCCCCCCCCACCCCAAACCCCCAACGAAAATAAAGCACGTGGCAGAACGTACAAAGTCATCTTTGACAGCGTCAGGACGTTTAACTGTCTAATTGTTGCTCTTCCCCAGTAACACAGCATGTTAATATGGTGCTATGCATTTAAAACATTTAATTCAGTATTGAAGTTTGGCAGAGGTAGAGATTAACCACTGCGTCGTTTTTGTATGAAAAACATAATCCTATTTTTCAACCCGGCAATGTGGTAAAGTGTATCTTGTGGTACAAACAGAGATGACAGGATAGTGGGAGTGCAATGGCTCTTGATCTTGTACTGAGTACAAGCCAATAGTAATTACAAAAAGACATAAATGTCCTTTTAATTGGCTGAAATCACTTTTGAAGGGACCAACCATGGTATTTGAAGACATTGGAGAGTTTTTCTGCAAGTAAATCATACCTGGCATTTTGAACAGGTAGTGATCAGTAGGACAAGCACAGATTTAGAGAAAACTCCAATGTAAATATTTGGGGAAATATGTATTTATTTCCTGTCCTCTCTTACTTGAAGTGCAAAGTGTGGGTTGTTCTACATGAGGACAACAATGGAGTATGTTGAATATGTCAAGATAGAGGCTTAAATGAAAGAGGAGATTGCATTCGATGGATAATGTTCACCCTGAAAAGCATTTAAATGATGGAATTCAGTAATCTTGAGCTGAATGAAAGAAAATGTTTAAAATAACACAATCACTGTTTTCTACTTTAATTTACCTGAGTACTGTGGTATAACTGGTTGGCAAATTTATAAGAGGAATTAAAACATTATTCATTCCAGTGCTAGAAAAATTGATTAAAATATTGATAAGCCTAGAATGTTTTACATTTCAATTTTTCATAAGGAGGTTGTCGAGATGGGAAATGTACTTTGATTTGAACGGTACTAATGTAAACATAACCGCTGCACAGAAAACCAATTGGTCAAAACATTAAATGATTTCCCATGAATTTATTGACTTAAAAATCGCCACTCAATCGATCCTCAGTGTTACCTGTGTTGTACTGATACAAGAGACACTTGTGTTTGGATCAAAGGGAGTGGGCTGAGTTTGTGACTCACCACAAAGGATATTTGGATCACATTGTTGCCGTTGCTTTCGTCTCTTGCCCCCAGTGGCGTCCTGCTCATCATCGGGCTGTAGGGCCAGAAGCCAATCACATGATCGCAGCCATATGAAGATGGAACGTACTGTGGCAACAATTTCACTTTCAAATGCCTGCTTTTATGTCAGTGTACAGTTGTTTCCATCCATTGACCTATTATTATTATTATTATTATTATTATTATTATTATTATTATTATTACTGCCATTATCACATTATCCCAGTGGATTTTTTACAGTCTCATTGAAGTTTATTGCTTTCTCTTACACCAACTACTAGGCTGTTGGTATCAAAACAATGTATATGATATATATGAAATATATATTAGTGTATATATGTTTTTTTGCCCCCAACAAAGTTGTCCCAGGCAACTAGACCAAGTGCATTGTGAAGGAGCCTGGATTGTTTCAGTTTTTTTCTTCTGGAAGGATTTCTTTTGGAGGTTAGGGTTATTTTTCAATTCATGTACCATAAAGTTGTTGATATTGCCATTTCTCTCTTCTGTGACAGTCTGTAATGTTTGTTATGTTGCTGAAGGCATAGTCTGTGATCTATGCAAAGGTGTCCATTTTATTTTTTGTCACGATTCTGCCATGTATCATTCGATTAAAGACATTTTTAAGGCTCTGGTCTGTGTCTGTGGTCCACTTGATGATGAGATGTTCACACACATGCCTGGATGGATGCGTTACAGCATACACTTAAAATGTATGCTAGAGGTGGAGTAAAAACACATCAAAAATAGCAGTTTACCTGAGGTTTTAATTTTAATTAGACTCTTATTTGAATGGTATGCTTATATATGCTTGTCTGTATTGTATACGCAGAAATTTGAAATGTCAGCATTTACATTTTTAACCATGTTGTACCATGTTGTTGTTTTTTTTTTACCCTCAACAGTATTTTACTTTTCTAGGAATGGAAGACAATTATCTTGGTAAAAATGTAAGAATTATATTTTTGTGATTTTTTTTAGCAGGGAATAGCATGAACAGTGGTTATACATTTACCAACACACATCATCTGTATATAACACAGTTACACATAAAGAAACTTACATTTATTTTTGGACACTCAGTCTTAGGAGTTGTTGTATATAGTAGCTGGAGGACAAGCTATATATAAGGGCAATCGTGTGTGTGTGTATGGGTCCGTGTGTGTGTGTGTATGGGTCTGTGTGTCTATGGGTCTGTCTGTTTGTGTGTGTGTGTGTGTGTGTGTGTGGATTATGTTTATATTACATGGTGGGGACCAAATGTACCCCACAATGTGATAAAAACCTTTTGACCTTGTGGGGACCATTTTTCAGATTAAGGTCGTCGTGTTGGGATTAAAGTTTTCCTCATAGAAAAGAGTGGAGAGTCCCCACAAAGATATAACTACAAACCTGTGTGTGTGTGTGTATAACAGATGAAATAGCACAGCATGGCCTTGATAACTATTAAAAAACTTTCCCGTCCATTTCAGTTCGCAAAGGTTTCACTATAATTATGCGAAACACATTAAATTATAACTGTGATATTTTACCCAATATTGTTTGCAAAACCAAAGTCCGCCACATAAAAATCATTCTGTGTTATAGCTGTGATTGCTTGTTAACAGTAGGGTAGACACACGAGAGAGGTGAATGTGCAGTGTGTATGGCTTAAATATCTTTGTTTAGCTCTAAATGCATACAGAGCTGCTGTTTGTTTATTCATGGGAGATATTTGCTTGGTCCTGTTCATGCTGACTCTTGGGTGTGCTACTCAGATATCTTTGGGCTGTTTCAAAAACATATATAAATCAATATAAAACAATACCTTTAATTAATTTACTTTTCATAATTAGCATTAAAAAATATCTTAAATGACCCATTCCGTGATGGTTCTAAGCATATTTTCCCCCTGCTCACTGCATAACGATACACACTCTGAAAAACAGGCATTAGATTCACACAAAATTCAAAAGTATAGGCAGAGCTGGTACGTCTCAGTGTCTTCATGATTTTATTATTAACCATTTGCTTGGCAGACACCTAAATGTGTTAGATACTGCACAGGATTTCTCCTCAGAAACAGTGATGCGTGCAAACTCTGCGTCACACAGAGAAGTAATTGGTTATTGTAAAAATGTAACTTGTAAAGTGAAATACTTTCAAATACTGGTCTTGTAGTGGTTGAAAACACAGTTCTTGATGGTACATTGAAACAATAAATAGTTTATCGACATTCGGGTTCACTGCTATTTAGTCTATTCCTGTCAATAGACAAGTGAATGCAGTTGAAAGCATAGATGGCTACGCTTTCAATGCAGTGTCTTCAAACTTTACACTGCATGTTGGGCAGCTTTGTTTCCCTTTTAGCAACATTGTTAATGTTAAAATAATGAATCCATTAATGAAATCTGAGAACATCGTTCAGGGACATGTAAGTAATTGTCAATTAGCTATCGTCCCTGATGGTAAGTCCTGTTGTTAAATTAAGCATCTTAAAATAACATGTTGCACGTTTTATTGTCGAAGGATCCGTGTACTGAAATTAACCCTTGGTCAGGAGGCTGACCGCGACCACACATGACCAAAACAGACAGATCTTACAGGACTCTGACCGTAAGCACAAGATGTCTGCTGGAGACAGGCCGACCGCCCCGGGATGGAATGACAGGGCCGTGGATTAGCCAGCTCGGCACTGGAGATGCCCACCCCACCCCGCCAACACAAAGCCGGTGACTCATCGCCAGTGACCCCAGTGAAGCGGCGTGTGGGTGTACGCCCCCTGAAGGGAGGAGTGTGTGCGTGAGTGTTAAGTGGGGCATATGAACCGTTTCGGAAGGAAAGAATGAGGCTATCTTCCTCAATCTCCATCGCCAGCAGGCAGCTCTGAAATCGGCGAGAGTAACGTCTGCACTGCTGCTGCGGCACCACGACGGACCCACGGGCGCGTTAATAATCACCATTAATGTACGGAGTGGTATGTTCAAATGATCTTTATGCCGGTGAAAAACCATGATATAATGCCGGTCAATGTGAGTTAGCTTAGCCATTGAAAAATCTCCCCAGTGTTGACAGTAACCATCCAATATGCCCATAACTCAACCAATAGCACACTGTCTATGCCTCATCAAATTATTTAAATTTAGTTAATTAATTAAATGAGCTGGTAGTGAAATTTATTGGATACATGGACTGGCTGGGGGGCCCCTGAGAAGAGGTTTGGGAACTGAAGCTGCGTTCTTCTAGTCATCCAGCAAAATATCATTTTTTTGTAGAAGAAGCTCTAGTTACTTTATATTATGTGACTGTTCACTTGCATGTTAAATTGTATTTTTTTCTGAGAAAATACACAAATGATATTCATATAAAGAGTTTTAGACATTTTCTTTGATGGTCCAAGACTTTACTGTAGGTTCTGTTGCTTGATGTTATTGTAATAACACAGGCATCCTCAGTGATGTGGTTCAGCATAACCACTAAGACCCAAATATTCTCCAGTCACATCTCAGTGGCATCAGGGATGTGATTGTGGAATTCAGCATTAATGAGATGATCTTAGTTCCCGGGTCTATCATTTGTCTCTAAGATACATATTTACATTAACATTACATTTTATTTATCTAGCACATGCTTTTATCCAAAGCGACACACATCTTTTAGACAACAGGGTCATGCGATCCCTGGGGTAACAGGGGATTAAGGGTCTTGCTCGTCATTAAAATCACTCTTCTGGGCTGCTTGGACAGGAGTAGAAATGAAGTCCTGGACCAGGGATGGGTCTTTTTCTGCCTTCCTCAGCACTGCTACCACCCAGGTCTTCTCGTCGACGCTCAATGGCCAGTGCACCCCAAACATCTCACAACATCTGCTGCTGCTCACACACAAGCTTATCCAAGGAGAACA